CACAAGAGTGTCCCACAAGAGTGTCCTACAAGAGTGTCCCACAAGAGTGTCCTACAAGAGTGTCCCACAAGACTGTCCCACAAGAGTGTCCTACAAGAGTGTCCTACTTCCCAGCGCAAGTACTTCCGAGCCTTGTTCGGTCAATGACTGCTGATCAATTCCAACCTGCGAAGCTGGATGCTGGTCCAGGTTCCCGCACGCCCAAAGACCATTTGCAAAACAATCCCTACCTAGTGGTAGGCGCTTATCGGAAAACACTTGAGTACACCCGGGAGATCCAACTGCGCCTGACACGGCTTGGGCTGCCAGAGCCTTTGAATCGGGGGCGCTTGATCCCTCGCTTAGGCAATCGATGGCATTCCCGTCGTTCGCCAGGATGCTGCTTCGCATAGAAATCCCATTGTGGTCTGATGTAAAGGCAGCGAGACACCCCCCACCGCAAGTGAATCCGAGGCGGAATCGAGCATCACAGGCACACGAGAACCATCACCGATACTTGCGCAACCGTGCCTAATGTGCGTGACGATGATCTGAACCAGCCAGAGGAACCCTCAGAAGAGGAGGAACAGAAGACGGGCCACGGGCGGTTTGTTTCGGTACCAGACACTGAGCAATGCGGCCGACAACTTTGAGAAGGGCAATGCCCAAGCATCAGCTCTGGCGGTACTTCCACAACGGCTACCCTGACTGCCAGCAAACGATCGACCCTACCAGCCAAAGTTGCCAACGTAGGAGCAATGATGCTGCCTGGGAGGCGACAGTTATGTGGCTCACAGGTGATTCTACCTTCCTCAGGAAGATGGAATGGCTCCTCCTCCACAACGCATTCCAGTGCTCGCAACACCCCACGACCACCCTAGAGGCCATGGTACTCGGGGTCTATTGCTCGTGTCCCAGTGGCGCAAGGTAGCGTAATGTGGTGGCCTTAGCATTGCATTACTTTTGCAGTGAGTGTTTCCTTGCTTGTTCTGTTGAAGAAAGGATGAAGGTTCACTGTGAATGTAGTGCACCTGGGGGAACAGACTTTGGTTGACAGTTTTCACGCCCATTTCAGAGCCCCACTCTTTCATCTAGTATTCTGCCACCTCCGGCCCATGGTTCCACCTGCGCCAGTAGCAAAACACGCTCTTGACGACGCAAAAGTAGTGCTTCAGGCTTTTTGAAACACAAGAGGGCACCGCCATGAAATTGTTTTTTCGGTTTTTGGAGATTTCAAACTGGCCAAACCGGTAGTCTGGAAAGTTCCGGATCATTTGTGATTCCCTGGTGCAGCTTTCCCGCCCCCCGTTCCCATGCCCCCAGGTGCTTGTCCCAATTCCCTGTCCCAAGTCCTGTCCCCAGTTTGATGCCCCCACTTCCCTGCCCCCAATTCTCTGTCCCCAGTGCCCTGTCCCAGTTCCCTCCCCCCCCAGTTCCCTGTCCCAAGTTCCCTGTCCCCAGTTTGCTACTATGTAGAACCCTATGCACTGTCTTTTGTTTTCAAGGAAATCCAACCTCCTCCATCAGAGTTGCTCAAAAAAGTAGCTGACACACCCTTGTGTCTTGATAGTATCTATTATTCACCCTCCGATGAGCCATGTTTGAAGCTTCATTTGCAGAAAAGAAGAGGGATTCTAGAAGCTGATTGTGGCCTCCAAAACCTTCAAATTCTTGCCCGCCAATTTACGTCCCCCGGGAGTAGTAGTAGTAGTAGTAGTAGTCGTAGTAGCTGAAAATCTTTGCGGTATGTACCATTTGTTTCTTATTAAAACAACATTTTTTTCCTTTCAAGTCAAAATAGATAGCCAAAAAAAAGCATTAAATCGTTAATTCGTTAAGTTTGATTTGTCAAATAAGAATTTTTAAAGAAAAAAGACCAACTTAATTAATTAATGATTCACGAAATGCTCTAAGTGCAGAAGTCTCGTGTCTAGAAATTGCAATCTCATTCTGGCGCACTATCTCAGTCAATGTCAGGCATATGCAGCTTAGCTGGCAACCAAAACAAAGACCTGAAAGGTTTAGAAACCTGGAGATCAGCATTGTCTGAGATCCACAGGTGTTTGCCTCAAACGTTGGAGGTCAGTTTTGCGTGAGACAAAAAACCTAAAGGTGAAGCTGCTTCTGATACACTTTTTGAATTTACTTTTTGGCTTCAAAACAGGAGCCGTACATGTCGGCTGGAAGCCAAAAGCAGCTTCTCATTTTCTTGCATTTTTTGACCGTCTATGTCAACAGGCTCGCGCAGATAACCGGAAAGTGTGACATTGATTGAGATAGTGCGCCAGAATGAGATTGCAATTTCTAGACACGAGACTTCTGCACTTAGAGCATTTCGTACTCCCGACCCGGAAAATCATTAAATCATTAATAAAAATACTTATTGAAAGATCAAACTTAACGAATTAACGATTTAACGACTTTTTTTAGGCTATCTATTTTGGTGCGTTTTGATATTCATTGCTGTGGCTTGCTGGCAATTGCTGGCAAACAGCTAAGCTGTAACCAGAAGCCATCGACAAAGGAAAAAATAGACGCCGAGCCAACTCCAGCGAGCATTGAACCAAAGAAAACAAATCTTTTGCAGACACACCCGGGGGAACAGAATTGGTTGACAGTTTTCACGCCCATTTCAGAGTCCCACTCTTTCTTTCATCTAGCATTCTGCCACCTCCGGCCCTCCATCAGGGACAACCAGCCAGTCAGGGTCTACTTTCCCGTCTGCAGCATAACCAAAGAGGAGGCCACTGCCGTGCACCCGCGCATCCTGTGTCAGGAGTAACTTCTCCCCTGGGTACAGGAGGGTTTGCCATGTCAGAACTAAGCGGAGCCTACGTGAGTTGCCTTTGCGATGTTCTACCAGACAAACGGGCAGTGAGCCATTCCACATGGGGTGTGGCTCCATAGCATCGAGGAAGGCCGTAGTGGAGGCTTGGACGCCATGAATGTCCACAGCAAAGGACCCTTCGACCCAGGCACCATCCGATCCCTTACTGCTGGTGTGCAGTGTGCACACTCCATGTAAGAGAGCAGCCACAACCTGACAGGCACCAGGGATTGAAAGGGCGCGCTAATACAGTGAGGTCTGTTGCCCTACTGAATGCCACGTTTGCCCTAGTATAGCACTCATGGTCAAAATCAGTCTGTCTTGAGT